TTTGCTCAAATCTGGAAGAAAAATTCAAGATTCCATTTATGCTGGATTTTTTAAACATAAAGCCAAAAATAAAGTTGACATACAGTCACCTTCTGTTCAGGAACTCCAGTTTGGAGTACTAGGTTTTTCACAGAAAAAGCAGGGTGGATGGGGAGGTGCTAATGCTAGAAGGAAGGGAAGATAAATAAACACTTCCTCCGAATATTCTGGGTTTTCACAGGATTTTAAAACAGCAGGCAGGGGCAGAAAAAAAATCATTATGTGGACTACCAACATCATCTTAGTTTTCATTTTGAAATTAAATTTCATCATAAGGTAACATTTTCAGCTTTGATAATACATTCTTACAAAACAGTCCAAATGTCTCATTATTATTCTTATCTGCATTATATGGCATAGAAGACATTATTTTATTTTAAAAAAAATTATTCTTGCCACCCATACTTTAATGTAGGAAAAGCCTAAAAAAAAAAAAAAAGAATAAAAGCTATCACGGAGCATAAAACACCAATGACACGTGCACTTGTCATTGTTTAACATTGACATGCAACAACTCCAACCAGTGCAAGCATAGTGATCCAGTGCAACTTTTGCCAGTATAATAGCTAGCTTAAATAATCAAGAAATACAAAAGTAGTATTTGGGAATGCATGGAGTCAGATAGTGAGTTTGAAGGTGGTTGCAGCTAAGGCCACTGTGCTTATTTCCTCTTAGGAAGCAGCAGATGGTCAGGCAGAAGATGCACGGGCATCTTTTGTGCTGACAATGCACTGAACTTCTCAGAAACTCCTAACAAGACCAATTAGAACAGGTCTTCAGACCTGTAACTGAGCAGATTACTAAAAAAAGTCTGACAACTCATCCTTCAAAATCAGCACCTCTAACACCACTGTCAGTGAATAAATGCTCTAATCAATTTGTCTTTCAGTTGGCTTGGACAACCTGCCAATAAAGCGTCTCTGAGGTCGCTAACTAGCAAAAGGGAACATGCTGGAGTTTATTCAGAACAAAGACATCAGGGAGAAGATAAAAAAACTGCTCTCAAGGAACCATCGAAAGTCAGACTCCTGGTTTCTACTAGAGTAAGAGCTGGAAGTAAAAACAAAGAAACAAACATAAATAAAGAGACAAATCCACAATACATGCTCTGCAATAAGGGAAAAAAAAAAAAAAAAAGACTGAAAAAAAAAAAGACTGAAAAAACTCTAGAGGTGTGAGAGAGAGACTGTATAAACATCCTTAAGTATGTCCAAAACGATGTGTGCTCTTATGAATCGTAATCTGAAAATGATAAGAAGACCCTCTTTTGGAGTGAAAACAGTAATCACTGTCACATGCTACATTATGGAAAGGATTTATGCATTTTCACATTTTACTGTTCAAAAGCCCTCTTATGGCAACTACAAGACACTACAGTATTAGTCCACATTTAGGAATTAACAGATACATTGGAAGAAAGGATAGTCAGGACTTTTTCTCCAAGATTATTTGGTATTTTGAACACCTGAAAGTTACATAAAGCAAAGGATAGTAGCTTTCATACAGAAATTAGAGATCAGATTCCTTTGCTCTAATACTGGCACGTTCCCACCCAAATTACTTGTACTATATTGCAGAAACTATAAACACTTGTTATTCAGAGCAAATCCTCACTTCTTACGTCAAGTCATCAGTACGTATTTGAAGCAAAACTTGGACTCTAAGCCAGTGTTAACAGTACTGAGGTAAATCTGAATCACTCAATGCTTTTTATGACCTTTCTTTATATTAAATCAAGGCCCTCTTCAGGAAAGTTTGTAGTTATATTCTCCTATGTTTTTAAAAAAAGAAAAATAAATTATACATCTAATACTTTTGGATTTCAAATGGATTAATGGCTGCGAGTACCGAAGACATGGCTGCATCCATTTTTATCTGTTTTGCTTAAACAAGCAATTACTTCATTTTCACCACTGATGTCATTAGTGTAGATTTACTTGCATCTGCAGTATAAAAGGTACTGCATAAAAGCAAATTTTATTTCATATTGCACCAGTCAAGACTTTTCAAGCTACTACTTGATACAGAATTATAACACTACATACCATTGAAATAGCTCTTCTTTCCCATTTCCTTATTTACCTATATGAATAGCCTGTGTATCTGTTCAAAAAGACACTAGAGATGCTGATTTACATGATATACTGTTGGAGTCGGACATTGCTCATGAGCAGATTACCTAATTTTTGGCCCAGTGTCTCCATCAGGCTATTTTAAAGATCAACTGGAGTTCTGCCACACATTTACAAGGCCCTTTTAAAATGTGCAGTTCTTCCATTTGCCACCTGGCATGTTTGCAAGGCAATCCTGGTTGAGCCATAACATACAAATAGGAAGAAACAGCAAAGAGTTTAATGAAAAGAAATCCACCACAGGAGCAAATATTATATCGTGTTCTAGAGTATTTCAATGAGCATTCATTAAAAAGAGATCTCTAATTTTGGGGTTGACATTTTACAGTGAAGGAATCAATAGGAAGATTGTATATTTGCTGCAATGTTACTTGCTATAGCACACAATACCAAATGGTCACTTGTTAATTTTTTTTTTTTGAGGGAAACTTTGAAGCAGTGAGAGATGCAAACATTGAAGTGTGAATTTTGGCCTCAACTAAATGAGAACTAGTAATCATTTGAGTAAGATTTACCATTAAGTAAGGTCTTCACTTCTTTTTCATATACAGGTTTCCAACACTAGTTATCAAACCAAACAGGTTTATAAAAAAATATGTTTTTATGATCCCGTGTCTTTAACTACTATGCTGAGGGGACACAGATATTGCTCATAAAAATTACGGATACATTTTAAGCTTCCGTAGATTCTCCATTGCAGTATACATTTAAACCCTTAAATTGATTCTTAACCCCACATCATGGGAAGAACTTTCTTGGAGAGAATTCCTGATTGTAGAGGAAAACGTGTCTGTCTTGCTGTACCAAGCAACAGGAGGGTCTCCCAGCTCCAGGAGAGCACTTGGGGCAGGGAGAGGGGCACAGCTTCCTCAAGCTGGCAGGCTCTCAAGAGCTGAAGGTGATATCATACTGTAAGAATATCTCCATATTATAGATACCTGTGCACACTAAGACTCCAAGTTAAAAAAGGAATTGAAAGCTGTACAGAGGGATCTCATAGCACAAGTCTCTGAATGAGATGCTTAATTCCAGACCCTCTTGTGTTTCTCTTCAACTGCTTTCTAACTCCAATTTTAAAACACAGCAACTGCAAAACCAATGAATATAATATAGAAAACGATTCAATGGTTCTTTTTTTTTTTTCTTTTTTAAAAAGAATGCTTAATGATTTTGACATTTGTTTCTTGGAAACTGAGTCTTTAATGTATGAAGGGTTTTATGTCTGTAAAGAAAAGTTTGAAGTGAAGAGAAAACACAGAAAAAAAGAATCACTGCCCTCTCACCTGCTTGATCTAGGCCCAACTTCCCTGCATTTCAATCATAGTAATTTCTACTCCCAGAAGTTTAAATTGTCAGTTAAGATAAGTCCCACTAGACAGGGCAAACACTGGATTCTCCTGACTGTTTGACCTTATTCAATCATACCTGTAATTGATTGCAAGATAACTGCTGTTAAAAAGCAAGGTATACTGTCATTGTTTGGGGAAAAAAAAAAAAAAAAAAAAGCTAAATCTTTCTTTTTAATTAAGTCATACCCTGTAATTCCAGCTCAGATGTCCTTAGCTTTATTCCACAACAGACTGAACAAATGTTACTGAAATAACTCTAACCAGACCCCATCAGCAAAGACTGGATTTTTTCCATACAGAATAATTGGTACCATTTTCCATATGGCTTTGCTTACTTTCAGTTCTAAATATGAAAACATCGTAAATAGAAACAGGCATAGAAGACTTATCAAATCCTGTTAGAGCCAAAACCTGGACACAAATGTAACACCACAAGACAAACAGGTTTGGACTCAAAATGAAATTCCAGGATTCCAAGTGCTATAGGAAGCAGCTGCTGAACTCAAAACACATCACTACATTTTGATAAAAAATTGGGGTTTGGGATTTTGTTGTTGTTGGCTTTGGGGTTTGTTAAAGTGTTCATAGAAAACAAATTTGCTATTTCAACAGCCCTAATACGTAAAGCCTGGCCAAAAGAGCAACTGTAAGCATTGAGAGACTACTTCTCCCTCCCAACCAAACAAGGGCAACTATTTTCCTGAAGCCCAGCCAAGCAGCTGTATTTCAAAAAGGTTCTGTTTCATTTCGAATTTGGAAACAAAGAAGACTGCTTTGTAATGCATTATTTGCATTATCCCAATAATCTAGAAACCAGATTGTGTGCTAGTACATACAAAAACTTAGCTTGTAATTTGGCAGCCTAGACTGTATCATCACATATCAAGCCTTTTTTATTAACAGACTTTTGCTTCATGGCAGTAAGGTGCCGGGGAAATATTTCAAGTAAGAGAAAAAACACATGTTTCATGAAAGTCAAGGAAATAAAGATTTTTGGCTTCAAACTGCTCAGCGTCTGGCTGTTTGTGCTTCATGCAACACGTGGCAATTTGAAGACTGATCAGACTGCTATCTCTAAGTCAAGATGTTCTGGTTCGAGCCAGGATGAAGCCACTTATACAGGACAAATTGTTCTGGTAGGCAGCTCTCAGTAGGGATCTGACAGATACTCAGGAACTGCAGGGGCAAGTAAGATGTTTCCAGGTTCACCACACTCCTTAGTTTTTACAATGCTGTTTTTACTACAACAGGAGTATTCCCCATTTCTACAGACAACTCTTCAAAGTTGTTTTCATTGTGCTTGAGAAAGCCAGAAAAGGGGTGAGAGAAACTGCTCCTTCTGATATGAAGTCTCGTTTCACTTTCATTGTGTTTCTGTTCTTAGAAAACATTTGGAGGAGGGCAGAGAGGCTAGATGTCTCTGCAGTTAGCTTCCCAGACACTGTATCAAAGTTACTGCCGAATATTTACATTAACTTACCAGTAGAGAAAACAAGAACTGTGTTGTCCCAAAGACCGTATCTTTTAAGAGCATCCGTAAGATTTCCTACAGCTTCATCCATAAGAGCCACCATCCCTGCATAATGGCGTCTCTTGGCATCTTTAATGGAGGAATATGGTTTCATGTATTCTTCAGAGACCTCAAGAGGTTCATGGACAGATTGAAAAGCAAGGTAGAGAAAAAGGGGCTGGGGTGAAAGGGGTAGAGTAGAAATTAGTTGTACATAAACTACTAAATGTAAAAGCTACTGCAGCAAAAAGCAGCTCTGATTAATCAAAAGCTGCAAGCACTGTGTTTTGATTTCTTCTACATTGTCCCCTTCTAATCCCTAAGCATAAACTAATAAAACTTCTATAAAGGACTTCTGCAAAGCTGTGGGAAAACATAAGATGTATCTTCATAACACAGTTGTTAACCGTTTCTTTCTATGAAACTTCTCCCATTAAACTTCCCATTCTCTTTCTAGAAGACCCAGCTACATAATTTCTATAAATTAATTATCTGTATTATTTAAAAAGAAATGGAGAAAGGTAGCAGGCCAGGGCTGTGCAGCCAAAGCTGATTCTGACAGCAGACAAGGCAAGTTTCACTAGCACTGCTTCTCACATTTAGCTCTATGCACCCTGCTGAAAAGTCCCAAATTACAACCTATGTGCAGGTCTTCATATTACATTAACTTTTTTAAAATATTCTTTGGTGCCAAGGTTTTAAAGAACAGTTGCTGACTGTACCTTCTCTGTTTTATGATTGGCTATAAGATCTATAGCTCTTTCGGTGAATAAATTAGTAGAGTAGATGTTTTTAAACTCGGTTGCAACTTCTTCTCCATCTCGAAAGTCCAGAGCACAACGCGTTATGTTCTTTGCTTTGATGAGGACACAACGGTCATGAGAATAATAATCCTCACTCCCCAGAAGATAGCCTAAAAAAGGAAAAGATGTCAAATAAGCAGGTCAACATAGTGTCCTACAAACAGACCTATCAGAGTGGAAAAAAAAAAAAAAAAAAAGTAAAAAATAAATGTAAAAAATTTAGCAGTTTTGAGCTGAAACACTCTGACCATCTGTAGTGACAACCCGTGACATGTCTAAGTATTTAATGCATCAGTACTTAATACTTCACAGACTTATTTTTGATAATGCAAGTAGTAATTTCAAAACACACATTTTGAAGGCAGTTCAATGACTTTATATTCAGAATTCGAAATCTATCGAACTAGCACTAAACCAGTGCACTGGTAGCAATGATTGTGACCTACTCAGGTGTTGCTCTGATTTTTGGCTTGTATGATTTTGTGTATTTCTATTTTCACATAAGACTTCTCGCTGTGTTAGAAAGTTTGGTGATTATTTTTTTTAACTCAAAAACATCCAAGTCTGAATTTTTATTGCAGCTGTAAAGCTACTTCTGATCCACTGCTGACACCAGCTGGTGAAAAAAAGGCATTGTTATTTAAAGATACCCAAAAAAAACAAACTGCAAAAATTCTGGAGGTACAGATTTGCCCCTATCAAGCACTACACTATTAAGCATTGAATGTCTTTGCTTTTTATTGATCAGAAACAAACTTCTTCAAAATTCTCGGAATCTCAGTAGCTGTTATGTTGGAAATTAAATTTCAGATTTATTTCCCAATATCCTGAGAAGAACAGACAAATCTGGAGAAAGATGTTTGTAAGTTCTGCCAAACCAAACTAAAACCGAGGACCTTCACTTGAGTTTTTGCTCAGCAGCTTCAAGTACAGTTACCTGTGCAAAAAGTATGCACAGAAATAATTAAGTTCTGTTCCATAAACAATATAAATATCTACTACATTTTTAGGAGGAAAAAACGGCTTTTGTTTCAAAGTATAAGGAGAGGTTTTGTGGGCAGACTGCCTACATCCATGTACTCAGAGCCACAAGCTGCATTCCTCCATTTTGAGTGCCCAGTAAGGGTGACATCACATGAAGTTTCCCAAAGATTCAAATGTGCCTTAATTTCAATCAACACCTACTGGAATGTTTAATTACATGAACACAATAGGATATTAAACTGCTACATTCTCTGAAAAACAATGTCACACTGGACAGTTGATGACCATGCCCAGAGCCAGCCTGTTGTTAAAGCCCTAGTGTTAAGAGCCTAATCAGTCCCAGGGAGAGATTTCACAAGCAAAGCCAGCCTATCTACATCATCTGTGCCAAGCTCCTGCAGACTGATGGGAAGAGGCATGTATGTCTAAGCAATGAGCTGTTACATTGTAATCCACATATAAGCATAATTTAGTTGTGAAACTACAGCTCCAAGCTTCCTGAAGAGTTAAAAGTGAAAAAAAGTCTAAGGGAACAGTTCTTCCTACCTAAAGTCTGGATCACCACTGCCTATAACGGGCATGTAGCACAGATAGGCTCTTCATTTAAGTACCTACAGTTAGACAAGAGGAACATAGACTTCAGCATAAGTTTTCTCTGTATGTCACTTCCTCAGCTGTAGAAGTACCATCAAGGTTATTTTGAAGGCAGTGAACTGCTTCGAAATTCTGCATTCAATTAAAGTGTCTTTAAAAAACCCCCAGAAAGATGGAAAACTTTGCATTCAGTACCATGTGGGATAAGATGGATTGCAGGCATCCTGATCTGCATAACATCTGCAGCACTTGTGCAAAACTAGTAAAAGCCCAATCAATACTGAGACACGAGTTGCTGCAAGAGGAACCACAAACAACATGTATCCGCAGCTTGCTTTGTAACATGCTCACCATTGGACAATCCTAATTCTGTTATTATTTTTCTAACCTGAAGATTTGACTTCATAACTGGCAAGTTTCTGCCACAGATCTTTTGCATACTGCTTTATAGAGGTTCTCACATCATCTTCCTTGCCACAAGCTCTGGAAAACCATTGCTACTCTATTCACAAAGCATGAACACAATGTTGTATGACATCTCTTTCTCTCTTTAAAATTTCAGCTTAGAAGTATAACGTTATTTGCAGAGCAAGCAATGTCTACTGTCTGACGTAACACAAAACATTCAGATTAAAGACACTTGAAAAAACTAGCCACTGCAAAATCTTCTGTTATAGAACCAAATAAAATGCAGATCATAAAAGACAAATGCTTTTCTTTGGAGCTACTCAATAACGATGATATTTTCTTCAGTAAGTTGCAAGCATGCATTTAAGGCGCTGTCTTATTTTAAGCAGTTACACTTTGGAAACATGCATGCCCAGGTGTTGATTTACTTGTACACTAAAAATAAACCTGCTGTACTTAGAACGATTGGGCAGTTTCTCATCGCTTTTAACACCGCATTTCTTGCCCATGTTAAATCCGACCATTACCAAAGTAAGTATCAAATCCTCTGCGGGTTGGAAGGCATTCTTTTCTGTACATCCCTAAATGCCACTTCCCCACCATGTGAGTAACGTATCCCGCCTCTTGAAGTAGCTCTGGGAGGAGCTTCTCATCCAGCGGCACACAGCTGGGCTGGCACGGCCAAATTATCTGGTGTTGTAAACCCGTGTGGATCTAGCAGAGAAAAGAAAGATGCGAGATTAGCAACAACAGAGCTACACATTCTCGTAGGCTACTTTATAAACAGGTGAAAAAAGAAACAAGCTACCCCAGAGGCTAGCTTTGCCTTCAGGGCTTCCTGTCTTCCCTGATGTAGCACTGAGGAAGATCAGGAAGCAACAGCGGAAGGGTTAGGGCAGTATTGAGGAAGGCAAGAAAATAGCACTGCAGGGGTTTACGAGACCTTCCCAGACATAAATGTAGCACAATAAAAAAGGGAAAAGCCTTCTGCACTTTGTTATAAAAATATAATATGTAACAATTACCATTATGGTCTCTTTGAAGGCTAGGTACAGCATCTCAACGTGGAGTGAGAGATTTTAAATGGGATGGTGATGGGCAAAAAGGCGCATGGTGAAGCTACAGAGCTTTTGGCTGTAGCAGAGAACAGTCACCGCAGAAACAAGTGAGAAAGGCTAAGAGCTTTTCACATTACTCTTCTAAAGGTACACAGTATACACACTTTACATATGTATTTACATGCTTAAAGTGAGTGTATGCACTTGTACAAAAAAAAAAAGCATTTGGATACTGGGAATAACACAAGTTTTAGACACTGCCTAGGTCTGACCTCTAATAGTTCCATGTAAGTTTCCAGTCTTAACAAGTAGTGAATTTGTGTCTCTTCACAAAAACATGACTGATAATGATTGTCCCAGTACTACATTTTGCTTGATGCAAGAAACCTCTCTAGTTACTGTGTAGTGTAAGTTGACTTCTGTCACCTCTCCTACCTCAGTCAGGGAAAAAGAAAAAAAAACAAACTACCCTAAGCTTGGGCCAGGAGGCATAAACATGAAAGTATAAGTATCTATTTCCTTATCTTTCTAGTAATCTGCCTCTGTCAAAGCATAAAACCTCCAAGACTCCCCCTAGGCCACAAAGACATCAGACTTTATAACTTCACTAAGCACTCCAGTGTAGCAAGCTGCATGATTAATTTTTAAAGCATCACTTCAGCAACACTTTGAACTAATTTTAAAATCAAATAAGCCCTGATTCTATGGAAGTGGGTAAGTAAACTCTCACAAAGAGCCTGCTAGTTACTAATTTTCTCTGAAACAGGAGCTGCAGAGAAAAATACTTTTTTTTAAAATGCAGTATTGCAAAAAGATTATTAATATAGTGAAAGACACAAGCTAGAAAGGCATTTTTATTTCTTTCACTGTCTCTAGAAACTAAGAAAAAGGAGAGGAAATGAAACATTTTTAAAAAATAAACAGCTTTCAGAAACAATTACCTTTGTTCTTCCTTCTTTATGACTGCAAGAGGATAATCAAAATTCTACCTGCAGATTGGACAAGACTTAGGATATTTTTTCAAATCTCTGAGCAATTGCTAATCATACCACTAAGATAAACAAACCAAAATCCCTCATATTTGCTGCGAAGTGTCTTCTCAACATTATTTCCATTTTTTAATATTGTTTTATTAATTGGCAATGAGGTTAACATGAAGATGATTAAATATCAAGTCAGATGTGTATGATGACTTTAGATCAGGAGTGAACTATAAGTATTTCCAATTTCCACTTTAGAGATCAGATGCAGCACTGTCCAGTTAACTCTGACTCACTTCTAGACAAACATGTTCAGAGTACAGGAGCAGAACGCTCCATCTCTCAATAGGCCTGCCTCAGTTTCCCTCTGCCATTCAACTGCTTTTTGTCTCTCAGTTTTACAGGCCCAGTCCTGGAGTGGAAAGATTTCCATGGGAAAGGAAAGGGCTTAGCAAGCTCTGAGCTGGTCACAAACTGGAAAGGTACAGAGAACAAAATGACGTTCATCTCACCAGCTGCTCTCCAGTGTTGAAGCACACAGAATCCAGCCCAGCCACAACTAGGCTGGAAATGGAGAAAAAATAAGAACAAACAGACAAAAGAGTTTGCTTGGTGTGCAAAAGGCCTTCTTGGGTTTTTCCACTGTTTTCCTTTCATTCTTTGATAAGAGATTTTGGAGGTACGGCTAAATAGTTAAATGACAGCAGTCAATCCACTTCATTGTATGAAAGCCTGGTCCCACCTTTGCTCAGGGAGACTCCCATACACTTCTCCAGGAGGTTTCTGAACCTTCTGTCCAGCAGGGACTCCTGCCAGACAGATTGATTCTCGAGAATTAAGGACCAGCACAAAGGGTCACCCAGCTGTGGCCATGCAAGGGTGAGAGATACAAACTCTCTTATTGTCTTCATTAGTTAATTTGACATTAAGCAATCCTTCATCATTCAGTTTTACGTTTTAAGATTTCAGGATCTTTTTAAATCAGCAATTGATATTCTAGATCTGGTATAAGACTTAAGTTGCTAGCATTTAAATGGTATACCTTTAATGATTGATTTGATTATTAGTGCTACATTTCATTGTTAAGATACCTTTTGCATTATTGTTTCAAAATTCCATTCTAGTATCCCAATTTCCCCACAGTCTGATTGTGCATATGCCTTTAACCTTTAAAACAGTTAAGACGCTGGTGTTGTTTTAAATAAATCTTGTTCTGAGCACGTACATGTCATCTGCTCTCTCACCCTCTCTGAGATAAGTAGAAACTGTATTCTAGAATCAGCCAAACTATACAAATATTTTAGGTTGTTTATATAAACAATTTAAAGAATTGCTAAAAAAGTCATGTCAGTTGTATCTTCCTATTCTTTATTATTATTAACTCTTGGAGTTTCTAGTAACAAAAAAAAACATCGCTTGAAAGAGTATTATCTAGAAAGACCTTCCTGCAACAACACCATCTACTAATAAAGGATGACATTTCTTTTCATTCTGGAAGTTTCTTTGACAAATCACTATGGTTAATACGCATGTGCAGGACTTTTTGAGACAGAGGGGAAGTTTCTGAAATACACTCTGAGAATAACCCTCTTTATGAGTGTCTTCTGTTTGTCTGTGCTGTATTACTTTTTCCCACCACCTCATTTTTGCCAAAGTTGCAGTAAAAAGTAGGGGGAGAGGGAAGAACGTCAGTATGACAAAGTACAATTCTTACGCCTGTGCAAATGAAAACAAAACAAAACAAAAAACCAACAAACACACCACAAAAAACAACAAACATGAGTAGGACTACAAAGCAGCTAGACACCCTGGCTAAGGATCAGTCTGCGTGCACTCCATGAAAGGGTGAATAAATGTCTACACCTATGTTACCATATGAAGAATGTACAGGTTAGGATGCATTTAAATGCTGCACTGGAAAACAAGCTGCATAAACTTAGACCTAGTGCTTTTTTGCTTCTGGCTCCATGCAGACTGCCAGAAGTACACAACAGAAGCTGATTGCCCAACCAACCTAGTGGCTTTCTACAGCTGAGTGGCTACACCAGTGGACAAGGGAAAAGAAGGGGATATAATCTACCTGGACTTCTAAAGGCAGATGACACAGTCACCCACAACACCCTGCTAAGTTGGAAAGATACGGATTTTATGGGCAGATTGTTCAACAATGGATAAGGAATTGGCTGGATGGTCACATCCAGAAAGCAACGCTCAATGGTTCAATGTCTAGATGGAGATGAGTGACAAGTGGTGTCCCTCAGGAGTCCCTACTGGGACCAGCACTACCTAAGATCTACGTCAATGAAATAAGACAGTGGGATCAAAGGCACCCTCAGCAAGTTTGCAGATGACACCAACCTGACCACTGTAGTCAACACCCCAGAGGGACAAGATGTTATCCAGAGGGACCTGGGCAAGCTAGAGAAGTGGGCCCAGATGAGCCTCTTGCAGTTCAACAAGGCCAAGTACAGGGTCCCTGGGTAGGGACAATCGTTGCCATCAATACAGGCTGGGGGATGATGTGATAGAGAGCAGCCCTGTGGAAAGGGACATGGGAGTACTAGTGGAGAAAAAACTGGACATGGGAAAACCATGTGCACTTAGAGCCCAGAGGGCTAATTGCATCTTTCAATAGAAGCAAGCATGGCCAGCAGGTCAAGGGAGATGATTCTGCCCCTCTGCTCTGCTCTTATAAAATCTTACCTGGTGTACTGTGTCCAGTTCTGGAGCCATCAACACAAGACGGACCTTAGAGCAAGTCCAGAGAAAGGCCACAAAAATTACCAGAGGGCTGGAGCACCTCTGCCATGAAGACAGGCTGAGGGAGATGGGGTTGTTCAGCCTGGAGATGAGAAGGCTTTGCGAGGGCCTTATAGTGGCCTTCTAGAAGCTAAAGGGGGCCTCTAGGTGTGGAGACCCCATGCCTGGAGACATTCAACATCAGGCTCCACTGGGCTCCGAAGAACCCAATCTAGTTGAAAAGGCCCTTGCACACTGCAGGGGGGTTGGAATAGATGCCCTTTAAGGGCCATCCCCACACATTCTATGATGCTATGACAACGAAAAGTAACATTTTTCACAATACGCTGCCACGACCGTTTCTACAGGCGAGGCACAGAGACCACCTCAGACTTCCAGAAGCAGGGCAGCTTGCGCAGCGCTCACCCTTAGCTTGCTGCTGAGCTAGCAGGCCGAAACAGACACCAGCTCCCTGCACAGAGACACAGCTGGGTCTCATGCAGAAGCCTTCTTCCAGGCGCACCTTTGCAGGAGGGGACAAGAAGGCCAAATCGCACACCGCGCGACCGAAATCAACCTGCTGATAACGTGGCGGAGGGCAGCAGGAAGGGGCCGGGAGGGATGCGGGGAGGGATGGAGGGAGCGC